CCCACCATGAGAAGGTGCTATTTGTAAGACCGAGTTTGTTGCAGCTCCTCAGACTGAAGAAGTCCTTTGGATAAAAGATGAAAAGTTTCAACAAGAAGAATCCTCCAGAGGACCTGACTCTGGTCACATTCATCCACCTGGATTACTGAGCAGCTTCAGGACTTGAACCCTCAGAGAAGCAACATTTTACATCAACCAAAGAACTTCCAAAGAATTTGTGGAAGCCTGTATAAGAAATAATTACACTAATACAAGTTATAAATGCCTAAACCACCAGTTCTTTCTGACAGTCAGTGTTTTGGAATACACACCAGATTTTTTTTCATTGATTCACGATTCAACATAAAACTAATGTCAAAATGATTTAACTCATGGGCAGCACGGTGGTGCAACTGGTAGAGCTGCTGCCTCTCAGCGAGCAGGTCCCTGGTTCAAACCCCGGTCCAGGGGTCTTTCTGGGTGGAGTTTGCATGTTCTCTTCGTGCATGCGTGGGTTTTCTCCGGGTGCTCCGGTTTCCTCCCACAGACCAAAAACATGCATGTTAGACTGATTGGTAACTCTAAATTGTCCCTAGGTGTGAGTGAGAGAGTGAATGGTTGTTTGTCTCGTTTGTCTCTATGTGTCCCTGTGATGGACTTGCGACCCGTCCAGGGTGTCCCCCGCCCCTCGCACAGTGATTGCTGGACATGGGCACCAGTGACCCCCGTGACCCAAAATGGAATAAACAGGTAAAGAAAATGGATGGATGGATTTAACTCATTTTGTTTCCTTATTTCCAGCTGTTTCTAGATCACTGTCAGATTGACCTTACTGCAGCTGTGAATATCAACAGAACTTTATTAAAAATAACTCCGTGTAAATCTGACACGTGCACTTTGGGACCAGCAGTTGGCTTCTGACACATGTAAAAGTTTTGTCTCTAAACTGAGGGTGTGTTAATCTGTCAAAACTTTGTCCACACAATCTTAATCCCTTTACTGAAAAGCCCTTTTTGATTTATGACTGAGAATCAATAGCTGCTCCACCACAGAACAAAATCTGTGCACGAGTGCACCACTGGTTGCTGCAGTCGTGCACAGTCCATGTTAAAGTGCACTGTTCAAGGTGTTTGCTATTTGTGCTGAAACGCAACTGAAACTCTGACTTGACCTCCGGCCTGGACCCCACAGACACTTTAAAGCTTTTAAACCTTATCAGGTTGTACCTGTAAGATATTCAAAGTATAAACCGGTACGGTCAGTGAAACACTTGGCATGTGACAGGAAGGATGTACCTGTAAGATATTCTGATGCTGCTCAATAATCCAGGTAGAAAAATCTAAAAAAGTTAAATCTGGTCATCTGGACATTAAAACAAAACAAAGCAAATCAACAAAAAAAAAAAATGTAGAAACGTTTCGTCTTTCATCCTGAGGACTTCCTCAGTCTGAGGAGCTGTATTCAGCTCAGTCTCTTAAATAGCACCTTCTCAGAGTGGATCAACCAGTTTGCTGCTGACAACCAGAACCAGCTGATCACATGCTCAAGAAGGACCATCAGCCTAACAATGGATCATTAGCACCTGATGGCTGTTTACTGTTCACAGAGGGCTGAGTGATACTAGCAATCACAGCATTGTAAGAGGGGGACAGTTGAACCTGGAGGCTCCGCCCCTGTTTAATGATGGACGGTTTCTTTTCACAAAGATGGCCTCCTTTACTCCTCTCTCAAACCATCGTTCCTCTCTGTCCAGGATGTGAACATCTTCATCCCTGAAAGAGTGACCTCTGACCTGGAGATGAGTGTAGACCTCAGAGTCCTGGCCTGATGATGTTGATCTTCTGTGCTGGTCCATCCTTTTGGCCAGTGGCTGTTTAGTTTCCCCGATGTAAGACTGATCACCCTCCTGACACTGAACAACATACACAACATTGCTCTGTGCCGGGGGACTGGATCTTTGGGATGAACCAGTCTTTAATGTATTTTGGGGTTTAAAAGCCACTGGGACGTTATGTTTAGAAAATAAACGTCTCAGTTTCTCTGATACTCCCTCAACATATGGAATGACCACTGGTCTGGGTCTGGGTTCCTCCTTTTCACCTGTTGGCTGACTGGAGTCCTGTTTGGGTTTCTTCTTTCAGGAAGGCCCAGTTAGGATATCCACATTGCTCTAGAGC